AAGAAATGGAAAAAAAACAAAAAACAAAACAAGAACTCAAAAACTGAAAACTCGCATGATTAAGTAGATGAAATTAAGATGATAACGCCCGATATTTTTCTATTATTCTCTCTCTCTCTCTCGTAAAGCAATTTTACTGATTTTCAGCATTCAGGTGGCTGCAAATTACATGTACATGTATTCTTCATGCAACGTAACAAAGAACTATGACGTTTCCAAATTCAAAAATCAGAAAAAAAGAATAATAATTGGATTTCTCATTGATAACGTGCCCAGACGATGTACATGTAACTTAAGGGACATGAAGGGTTTATGAAAGGTTCGAATGTAGGGGTGGAGTATATACTCAGGTATACATTGACCATGGAGACAGCATACATCCAGCTAGCAAGTGTCAATTAAAAAAAAACCCACCGCAATTGCTCTTAGCACCCGCAATATCTTCGAAACAGGTGGATGATTACCGACACGTGATGATCCTGGCTTCACTTTGAAACTATAATTATTAAAGTGTTAAAAATAAAGAATTATCACAATTACAAAAGTTCAAATCCTGGTACCTATGTAATGAAAATATATATGTACGTTTTCCTATTAAGGTATCTTTGCAAGTTAAATTTACTAATGTTGGAATTACGTGTGCTTTTCATGCGAGTAAAAAAACGTACACGTCCAATAATTTTTTTTATATCTATATAAAATGTTTCGAAAATTACATGTAGTACATGTAAGAGGTTCGTGAACATGTACACCTGTATATATATTAATAAATAAATAAATAAATAAATAAATATATATATATATATGTATATATATATATGATCGGGAAATAACGGAAAAATCCGTCGACAATTCAGTGTGTAAATAATGGCCTAACAATTAGTGTGAAAAACGTCAGTCAGCATTTGATTCAATGATAAATTGTATTTGCTGACAAGGTCATTGTATCGACCATAGAACTTACGAAATGATGACTTTAAACGAGACAGCTGATATTCTTGTTTCATCAACTTATTTGTCAATAATTTACCTCGTTTTAGAAATTGTACATACGTAGAGCATGCTCTTGCGTATCGAATCAACTGAGAGATATATACCCCGTATGCAGGTGATGAAGGTATATTGCTGCATAAGTAAGGGAAGTTGACGATTGAAAAGTTAAAGTCATCACGTTTATCATAAAGCTTGGTTGTTAGATTACCATTAACATCTTTTTCAAGTAAAATATCCAAATATGAAACAGATGTGTCAGACTCTGTGGTATCTTTTATCTCAAGTTCATAAGGATATATCGTATCGACATGAGAATGGAAATAGCCATTGTTAATTGACAATACGTCGTCGATATATCTAAATGTCGAGTTGAAGGCCATAGCAAGTGTTTTCTTCTTTTCACGTACAAGATTTTGGACAAATTCTGCTTCATATGAATACAAAAAAAGGTCTGCTTATAACGGGGTGCAATTGGTACCCATGGGAATTCCAATAGATTGTTGGAAGACCTGGTCTCCAAAAACCACATAGATATTGTCAATCAGAAACTCAAGCATCTTTTTAATGTCAACTTCAGAGTACTTGTGTGTACAATCAGAATGTTTTTTGACAAAATTATTTTGCAAATGACCAATGACAAGGTAAGTATATTTACGAGTTCCATTTTTATTGAAAAAGCAGCTGTCAATGATATCAAAAAGCCTGGACTTTAATTTATCGTGGGGAATGGTTGTGTATAAAGTTGAAAAGTCGTAAGTTTTTAAACTGTTGATTTTGGTAAAATCTTGTGATTTCAAATTTTCCAAAAGTTCCTTGGAAATTTTAAGTATCCACATCTGATTTACACCACTTCTCGAATATATTGTTGCACAGTACTCTTGAAGTTTCTCCTTCACCACTGTTGATATCTTAGTGAGGAGTAAAGATAGAGGCTTGGTTGAACATTTACTGGAACCCGCTATGTATCTTCGTTTGTAAGGATTTTTATGAAGTTTCGGAATCCAATATAAATATGGTAATTCAAATTCATTTTGGTTGTTTTGGTTGTTTGGAATATTAAAAATATTCAAAACTGACAAATGATTTTGAAGAATTTCTTCCTTAGAAAGGGAACTATGAGTATAAGTTGGATTACCACTTATAATTAAATCAAAGCACTTACATGTTCTTATACTGTATCTTGAGCTAATAAAATTCTATAATTTATCGAGGACCAGTTTTTTAATTCTTTTTTTTATAGTAACAATTGTTATAACCATTATTATCTTCTTTTTTCTATTATGAATTAAACTACTTATTGTCTGATAAATTTACGCAATGTATATTTATATATTAATGGATTTAAAAATATAAAGAAAATAGATATGTAACTATACATGTAACATGCTACCTGGATAATAAAAATATATTATGTATTAATAGATTTTAAAAATAAAAAATAATGAAAATAGATGTGTAAATATTGCATGTTGTCTGGAGAATTAAAATATATAAATATAAAATCATGTTTAAATATCATATTAATAATATTTTTACACTGTACATTCACATGCTTTGCTTGTACAATGTTTAGATTACAAACTGGCATGTTGACTGGTCGACGCGCTGATGGTCAACGCATTTTATCACTTACCTGATTGACAGACTTGTTCGGCATGTTGATTGGTCGACGCGCTGATGAGTTAATCGCTAATCCTGATTGACAGCTCTGTTACGCAACACCGAACGCGCGTTCGCTTTCTGGGACCGCTACTGAATTTGGGGTTCGCTTTCAGCGTTCGCTCTGGGTCCGCTCTGGGTTCGCTTCGGGTTCGCTAGGGGTCAGCCCTAGCGGACCCCAAGCGAACCCAGAGAGCGAATCCGGGGTGCGCTCTGGGTTAGCTTTCTGTTAGGTTGTGTCTGGCGGTACTGTACTTAAAAATAATTGATTTCAAAACTTGTATTACTGGTTGGCAATGAAAGGTGTCAATTAGAAAAAAAACATCCTGTCGATTGAATAGGTGAAAAATCTTGTGTATTAAAATAGAAGGGTCAAATATGAAGACCTCTGAAGAAATGAAAATAATGATTTTAAATTATATATTTTTTATGAAATACTTAAAAAATAATAACCGAGTAGCAACTTTTCTTATTGATACAATAGAATGTATGGAGATAACGAACATTATTTAAGACCAAAGGTCCATTAAACAATACAATTTTGAAGCAGAGCAAACACGGACCTCTAAAACATCAGAGATGGGATCAGGTACCATGGAGGAGGGAGAATCCCCAGTCAACCGGTCACACCCGCTGTGTGCTCCTTGTCATGATCGGCAAATAACGAACAAATCAGTCGACAATTCAGTGTGTAAATAATGGCCTAACAATTATATGAAAAACGTCAGTCAGCATTTGACTTAATGATAAGTTGTATTGGCTGACAAGGTCATTGTATCGACCGTAGAATTTACGAAATGATGACTATAAACGAGACAGCTGATATTCTTGTTTCATCAACTTGTTTGCCAATAACTTATCTCCTTTAAGAAATTTTCATTCGTAGAGCATGCTCTTGCGTATCGATTCAACTGAAAGATATAAACCCCATCTGCAGGTGATGTAGGTATATTGCTACATAAGTAAGGGAAGTTGACGGTTGAAAAATTGAAGTAATCACTATTATCATAAAGCTAGGTTGTTAGATTACCATATTATTACCATCTTTTTCTAGTAGAATATCCAAATATGAAACGGATGTCTCAGACTCTGTGGTATCTTTTATTTCAAGCTCACTGGGATGTATCGTATCGACATACGAATGGAAATAACCGGTGAACTAGGAGTGCCATTTGCAGCACTGAATTATTTTGCAACATCTTCATAACAAGATGTTACACAACAACGATTTTAACAAGAATATACATGAAGCAATCCATTGATTGTGTAGAATATTAAATCAGAACCTTTGCAATCGACTAGTGATGTTGAAATTAGTGTCAAAAATTTATTTATTGCATCGTTCTGCCTATGCAAAACTGCTAATATTGACATTTAATGTTCATTCCAACGCAGTAAGGCCACAGTAACGCCAGTGAACACTTGTTTTAACTCTGATACCAGATTTTCATTCTTAAGTCTGATTATAGTAGAATCAAGTATAATTCGTAATTAGATGGAACGTTATGCTGAAATGCTGAAACTGCATCCAGAAGGTTGATAGCGGTGCAATGTCAATATTCTACCCCGATATGTCCTTCCAATAATTCAACATCCTTGAGCAGTATTTCAACATAACAATGCAAGACCACAGACGGCTTGTCTGACAAGTGTATTCTTGCAAAGTAACAACATCCAGTTCTTCCTCAGTTCTACATATTGAGAGTGCATGGAACAATTTGTATACGTATTTCCTTTAAAGAGAACTACAATCCAATGCTCTGCAACAACTGATTCAAGCTGCATACAGTTAAAGTGGGATGATATATCAATTTCCAAGGCTTTCTTTTTGATACTCAATTGTGTCCATTTAGAAGACTATTAATGACCTTGAACTTCCTTTTTATTCCTTCTATTTCATGATCAGTATACATTGTAAAAATTGCAAATAAGATTTAAAGTAACATGTGCAAAGGTATATAAACAGCTTTTGATGTGATTCCTTAAAAAGACAAGATGACTCAAACTAAATAATTTTGCCATCACAATATAACGACAATTTTTAGTGTTCTCCAGTGCAGCATCACCATGCACAAAATCGGAATTTTTTTTTTATTTCAATACAATTTTGAAAACGCTCTTCAAAACTATTTTTTGTTACCTGTTTATGATATTCCTTTTTTTAATTTTTCATCTATTTGAAAGTTATTTTTAATTTTTGGATTATTAAATGGTATTTACAGCTGTAAATTCAAACATTGAGCCTTACATTTACATTATATGTAATTAGATTAGGTTCAGGCGCGGATCCAGGATTTGAAGTTAGAGGGGGCGTCAACAGTAGGCAGGGGGTCTGAGGCCCCCAGTGGGTCCAGGGCAAAGCCCTGGTGGGGGTCCAGGGGGCGAAGCCCCCGCAAGCTCCTGGATTCTAGAGATTTTGTAGGGTAAAAAGGAGGTCTACCAAGTAGAAATTTTTACATTTTCTCGATGAAACTATAATTTACGCTAATATAACTTTGACAATTTTAGGGGGGGGGGGCGCCGGGTGCGCTCCCCCTTAAATCCGCCACTGAGGTTTAAATCTTTATAAAAGACTTTGTGTTTTTAACGTTACTTGAGCTGCTTTCATAAAGTCATCTGATTTACCGACATCAACTCTAATTTTAGTATAGTATGTGTAAATTTGAGTAGATATAAGTTTGTAGGGAACATTTCTCAGTCCATCAGTCTTCATCCTGATTTTCCACGTTTTAAGGACATCAAATCTTTGAAAAAGAAAAGAAAAAAAATATAAGCTACAACAATTCAACAATAACATCTCTCTTTCGTGATGCAAGTTAAAGTAAAATGATATAACTTTAAGTGATCCAAAATTTTTAAAAGGCAACTCTATTTTCCCTATTCATGAGTTAATTTATAGTGGAAATAGCCTAACTCTTTTCATTGAAAATATCCAATCCAATTCACACAAGAATGACTTTCAGCAAGTTAGGTAGAAATTGGCTGAACTTTCTTAAGGGGCAGATTGGATTATGTAAAAGTTTTAACTTAACATTAACACAAATAGGCATTTATGCGGCAAAGTAGATTTTTATTCTCTGCCTGAAATAGGCTTAAGTCGAAAAAACTAAAGAAAGTTAATTTGTTATACCTTTTTGCAGTGTTAGTTGAAAATTTTGACTGGTGCTGTGAGTTTTTAAAGTTACCTTTTCAGCAATCGTTCCCGCTTCCTGTGACGAAGCATTGTATATCTAGCGACAGATGCTGGAGGTCGTATCACACGGAATTTTAAATGAGTCATTCTGTAAATAAAATGTTTATATATATTTCATCATCAGTTGTTGTTGTTAGATTTTCACGTATCTATGCATTTTAATAGACTACTCTGCAGCAAGATTTCTTTTAGGAATGCAACAAAAAAGATTAATGTAAGACACGGGTTATATTTACCCACTGAATTGTCGACTGATTTTTCCGCTATTTCCCGATCATGACAAGGAGGATACGGTGGGTGTGACCGATCGGCAGGGGATGGTCACTCCTCCATGACACCTGATCCCACCTCTGACGTTTTGGAGGTCCGTGTTTGCTCTGCACCTATTTTGTAATGTTTAATGGACTTTTGAGCTTGAATACTGTTCGTTATCCCCATACATTTCATTATATAAAATATGCTTACTCTTGTTGTGAAGTGATTTTCATTTCGTTAAGTTTATAGCCGTAATCTGAACTTGTCAAATTGCTAGTTCCTGGCAAAGCACTATTTGTAAACGTGTTTTAATACATTATTTTGCCGGGTGTTTTTTGTAGAATAGTAATATCCAATTCGTCAAACTGTATCACATTTTGGTAAATATTATTTTATTCAATATGCAAACACTTCTCACCTGTAGTACATATCGTCGTCTTCCCCTCCCCAGCCCCAAAACATGTTGGAATATCCGTTAACTTTACGGAAAATGTGTGGTCTAAACCCTAACACTCCACCCACTAACCAGCTGTACACCAACCTGTGTAACAAATGTTTAAATATTTTGATATATTTATAAAAATCAATCTAATATTTTTGTTAGATATTGCTCCAAAACGCTATTATTTTTAATAATCGTTGGACATTGATTCCAGTTGTGTTTGCACGTAAAAGAATTTTAGTCGAATGAGAATTTTAAAACAAGTTCAAAATGCTTAATCTGCAATCACTCGGTATTTTTCAATGTATTAATGTTGACTGTACTTTTAGTTATCAAGTCTGAATAGCTCCTACGTAATTATTTAATAAATTAAGCATTTTTATCTAAATAAATATAAAATTCCTATTTAAAAAAAGTTATCTTATCATGGCTTTTCAATGTCAATGGGTATAGATTTCAATGCTATTTTAATAAAACTCTTTTCAAGAGTACCAGGTGCACTTTAATTGTTTTAGTTTGCATGATTCCCAAGATTGCCAGTTTGTGTGGATTTATTTTATGAGAAGGACGCTTGAAGTAATTTGTTGCTATATCGGGTATCATTTTTTCGCATCAATAACAGAAATTATATTCAAGAACAAAGCCATTAATAATTCATATCGAAATTTGATTCATTCTTTGTGATTCAATTTTTGTAAACTCCTTACTCCTGGGAATAAGGTTGGGACCACAATATTGTTCAACAATATTTAACGATGATAAAGTGTGGATTTGTTTTATGAGATGGACGCTTGAAGTAATTTGTTGCTATGTCGGGTATCATTTTATCGCATTAATAAAAGAAATTATTTTCAGGAACAAAGCCGTAAGTAATTCATATTGAAATTTCATTCATTCTTTGTGGATTCAATTTTGATAAACTCCTTACTCCTGGGAATTAAGTTGGGGCCACATTATTGTTCAACAATATTTATCGATGATAAAGTTGAATGCATTTGGCATGAAATATCAACGTGTCTGCGGAACTTATTGATACTAATATTTTTGATAAATAAATCATGTGACTACTTCATTGCAATTTTATACTTTCCGATGTCTATTTTAGCATTTCAACAGATCTCAGATATCAACAGTTAGAGTAAAATTATCAATGGATTCTTGTAACTCGTCGCATTTCAATGATTTTAGTTCAAAGAATTCAAGGAATACATACGCTTCTTTTGATAAAAGGAATATTTTCATCACAGTTGTGCTGGAAAAATTCTTCTGATGGGTCACTTTTCACACATTTTAACTAATGTTATGATGAAAGATTTCAGTAAATAAATCTTACTTGTAACCATCTTCATCGATTGCCACCGATAGATGGCGTGGTTGATCCCCACAGTAATAGAGATTCCTGTCATTTTCTGGAATAAGGTCAACGTCATGGAAGAATACACAATTAAAGTCAAATAATTTCCCTGCTTCGAGAAACCCGGCATTCATAAGTCTTCCTTTGTTAAAAGTTGTATTTCCTGTCTACAATATAATCTCGAGTTACTTGAAATGTCTTTAAACTAATTTCTTTTTAAAAGAACATACTTAAGGCACTTTAGAGAAATAGAAATTTACTTGAACCTGTTCAATTACAAAAATTCTAAATTCTGTTTGTTGAGCCATCAGAATAGGGATAAGATTCTTAAGAAGAATGCAAAGATGTTCCTCTCTATCTCTATATGGTATAATGATGGCAACACGACGTGTAGGTTTGCATTCTGTCGGTATCCAATGTCCTCCAACTATTCCCATTTTTCTCGCAGAAGAAAGAGAAAATACAGTGCAGTTACGTCTATCAGGATGAAGTTGCGTATCTTCGATTGTTCGACGTGTTGATTTCGATAACTTTGTTGTTTTGGGACATTTGATTTGCTGACACTTTGTTCTGTTGCAATACATCATGTTACAGGATTCTACTGCGCTACGTTCAATGTGGAGTTTCAGTGTGTGACATTCCGCCATGACACAAGGCTTGATATCGACTGTCCTGTTGCCTCCTGAAATAATACATGTTTTTTAAATCTACCACAGCATGTATAAATGTTTTCAAATTTTAACAAAATGATAATGAACATTATAATGATAGTATCTTTAATTAATGTAAGACCTAACATAGTCCTTGTACTTAATTACTCAATAATACTGTATTTACCTTAACGTGTTTTATTTTACACATAATTAATAATATTTTGAGTTTGTTTCAGAGTGTTTAATAGTTTGAATTATATTAATAAGATGTATCTCTCTTTGGTCTCGTTTTACTTCTAAAAGCTTGTGAAAACACCCCTGAATAGTAAAAAAATGATATAATATGAGAGAGAGAGAGAGAGAGAGAGAGAGAGAGAGAGAGAGAGATTCATACTTATCTCTGACGTTAATGCTGAAATAAAACACGGTTTCCCGATGCCATTTGCTTTATGAAATTTTCTTTCTGTTTCTCCCATTTTAAAAAATTGTTGAACTAGATCTTCAAAATTAAAATTCCATGTGGAAGCAGATGAAAGATTCCTTGAAGTTATTTGATATTTTATCAAAGATGTTTTCATAATCAAAAGCATATTTATCCCACAGAAAACCAGCAATACCAATAGCACTGAAAGAACATAAGTTTTATTTAACTTCATCATTCCATTATGTAATTGTTTTCTTTTCACGAAACAATATTTTTGGCAGAAACCATCTTTAGTGCATTTTTACATCCTTGTTACACATTTAGACTATATCACCGCACTGTAGCTTTTTACCTTGATTATAGGGTTTTTAAACACGCATTGTAAATAGAAAGCAGGCGTTAATAATACATTTTTATTGTCATGAAAGAATCACGTAGGGGTATTCTTTTTAGACTGAAAAAGGCAGACCATTGTATAAGGTTTTGTATTTCGGCATGTTTCACTGTTATTTACTGTTTTAAATACACATGTGAAATATGAAAGCCCCGAAGTTGTTGGTATCCAAAGTAAGGGCTTGTCACAGGGATTACATATGTGAAGTATGAAAGCCGTAGCACCAAATGTTCAAAATTATGGCCAAGGATAAAGTTTTCCAAAAGTAGGTCAAACTCCTATGTCAATGTCAAAGGGTTAAGGTTGTTGGCATCCAAAGGAAGTTCTTGTCACAGGGATTACATATGTGAAGTATAAGTATGAAAACCCTAGCACCAAATGTTCAAAAGTTATGGCCAAGGTTAAGGTTTTTCAAAACTAGGTCAAACTCCTAGGTAAAGGTAAAAGGGTCAAAGTTGTTGGTATCCAAAGGAAGATATTGTCAAAAGAATTACACATGTGAAATATGAAAGCCCCAACACCGAACTCCAAGGTCAAGGTCAAAAGGTCAAATATAATGGTACCCAAAGAGAGGTCTTTTCACAAGAAATACACATGTGAAATATGAAAGCCATAGCTCCAACCAATCAAAAGTTATGGGCAATGTTAAGGTTTTTGCGGACAGACAGACAAACAGATAAACAGACAAACAGACAGACAGACAGACAGACAGACGGACGAACAGGGCAAAAACTATATACCCCCGAATCTTCAATACGGGGGCATAAAAAACAAACCTAAAATCCATTTCCCATGGGAAAAAAAAAACATTTCGTGGTGTTGATGTTGGGGTCTACGTTTTATGGGTCGAAAGAGGGGGGTCCAGAGTCATGTTGCCTCCGTATTTACTTTTGTTAACTCTGAAAATTCCCCCGTCGACCCTCCCCCCTCTAGATACGTTAATAAATTAATGTATTCTATAAAAATCTATATTAATGTCGTGAGCCAACTGTGCATTGTTAATCTAAAGAGCTTCTTTTTTTTTTTTTTTTTTTTTTTTAAACTCTGAAGAGGTCCTGATAGCACAATGTAACATCTGTTGTTATAATCCAATTTGTTAGATGCAAACTAGTAGATTGCATTCCCCCTCTTTTAAAATCGTGTTTCAAATATTTTTCGAAATTATATGTGGGAAAATTCCAAATATAGGGAAAAAAAACATTGTATAATGTAAGACATAGATCTCCTGCAATAATTTTAAGTAGACAGTTTTAAAATTATATTTATATATTATATTATATATATAAATTATATCATTTTTATACATAAAAATCTTTATTTTTAACTTTGTTATGAAAATATTTTCAATGTACTCTAAATGTATCAATACTGTAATTGCAATTGCAACAGTGAAAACAGTCCCAATGAAAATAAAATCAAATTTTTGTCCAACTTTACAAAGGGCAGAACTGAAAATAATCATCGAGGAGAGAGAGGGAGTGTTTTGCTTGCATCCAATAATGAGTTATCCCTGTTAAGTTCTGACGACACGTTCCCTGAATATTTGTTTCATATTTCTTAGTTATATACCAAAATATCTATAATGATTATCAAATTTTGAATTCTCAACTGTTTTTAAAATGCTTAAAAAATATATACAAAACAAAAATTGAGATATCAGCATTTTAAGTCATTTCCAGATGGATTATATAGAAAACAACTTTCTCTGGTACCTTGCACAAATGCCTTTTAATATACCCCGATTTTTTTGTGAGGAAGCTTCTTAAAGTAGAAATACCCATTCACAAATTTTTGTGAAAGATTATATATCATTGAGGAACGTGCCATCGACCTTAATGGAAATAAAATTCTTTTAAGGGGATTCTATTACTATCATTATCAACAGGTAACTAGTAATTGAAATATAAACTGTATCTATTCTCATAAATATTTGACAAAGCGTTTATTTGTGTGTTTTAATGTATGAATGTAAGTGTGTTAGTGGGGTGCTTCAAATGAAATTAAATTATCTACATGTTTTCATTTTGCCCTGTTGCGGAAGATTTTATCTGCAAAATATTTCAAAACAAAATAAGGATCATTCTTTTTTTTTTAATTAAACAAACTACTCTTTTAGTTTTCTGTAACAAAGAATGCTGAATTTTTACTATTTTGTCACTTACTACTCAAAGGTATGTCTGGACCTTGCATAAAGGTACATTCTCAAACATCGGTGTCTCTAGAAAATCTGGATCTCTTGATATTTTTAAAAAGGAATATGGTTTTGCAAGATACACACCTTATTAAAATCATATCCAAATGGTCAAGATCTAGATACACATCTAATTCAAGTCATATCCCAAATGGTTAAGGTCAAGATACACATCTTATTCAAATCATATCCAAATGGTCAAGGTCTAAATACATCTAATTCAAGTAATATCCTAAATGTGGGCTAGATACACACCTTATTCAAGCCGTATCCTAAATGTCATGGTATAGATACATGCCTTATTCAAGTCGTATCTTAAATATCAAGGTCTAGATACTGTAGATTCCTAAATATACGCGAGGAATAAATTATCGCGTAATTACGCGAGAAGCACCGCTCGCGAAATAAAATTACTCGCTTTTATTTTTCTGGTGCTTTAACGTATGTAAAATCTCTAGATAAATCACCCCTTCGCGAGTTATTGTTCTCGCGATTTGACGTCCTTGGGCCATTTTGCGATAATAAGTAGTCGCGTAAAATAAGGAATCTACAGTACACGCCTTATTCAAGTTATATCCTAAATGTTAATGTCTAGATACACGCTGTATTTAAGTCGTATCCCAATGGTCAAGGTCTAGATACACACCTTATTCAAGTCATATCCCTATGGTCAAGGTCTAGATACACAGCTTATTCAAGTCATATCCAAAATAGTCAAGGTCTCGATACACGCCTTATTCAAGTCATATCCATAGTGGTCAATATCTAGATATACATCTAACTCAAGTCATATTCCAAATGGTTAAGGTCTAGTTTCACACCTTATTCAAGTCATATTCAAAATGGTCAAGGTCTCGATACACACCTTATTCAAGTCATATCCAAAATGGTCAATGTCCTGATACACATCTAATTCAAGTCATATTCCAAATGGTTAAGGTCTAGATACACACCTAATTCAAGTTATATTCAAATAGTCAATGTCTAGACCCACACCTTATTCAAGTTATATTCCAAATGGTCAAGGTCTTGCACACATCATATGTAGAAAATGTGTTCGTGGTATGCAGCTTTGAAACCCTCAGTTGAATATAACTGAAATTTTAGTGTGTCAAAACTTTTATTGCAGCTCGGTTAAGGACATGTCATTTAAATAGTGAAGTTAGGAGTGAAATTAGTTAATAAGGAGTGTTTTGTATTTAAATTACTAGTTTTCGGTTTGAAAATGTTTATTGCTTTCAAACTTCATGAGGGGTTAGGTGCGTAAAGAACGACAGCTGAACACATCATATCATGTGAACATATCTTATCAGATTTCTTAACGCTTCAAACCTAGTGTTATGTCGTAATTTAAAGTTACTTAGACAAAGTACCGTCTCCATGAATTTTTCAAGACAAGCTACATTGTCTCGACTTTTCATCTTATATTTTGTGAAAATTCAATCTCCTGAATCGTTTCTGCACAGCATTCTTTTTTAACAAAAACATCTTGTAATTATATCTTGCTATTTTATTAGGTAAGCGTGAATACTCAATTTTTATCAGACTGTTTTAGAAATCTGCTAAACATGGTTATTATATGTACAAATGCAAATTAAAATGTTCACTGAGTGTTGTGGTGGCATGTAGGGATTTTCTATATTTGTCCAGATTTTAGAAATATTGTTTTAAAAAAGATTTGCATTTCAAAAAATATTATCACATGATATATTATTCATTCTGCATTTACAATTACACAGGTAAAAATGGCTCACATGACGGAATTCTTCGTATGAGAAGAAGACGAAAAACAACACGCACTAAATTCTATGCAAATATTCCATACGCTTTGTAATAATTTTCCTATGGATATCGTACGATTTAAGGTATTAGACCCATGTTAAGACCGAACTTTCTTACCTCAGATATCAATTACGTATAAAATAATCTGATATTAAATGAAAGAATTTTAGAGTGAAAAAGGATTTGTACGGAAGCCCATTAAACGCTATAATTTTACGTTTAAATGCAATAAGCCTTCCTTTGCCTTCCTTTTAA